ATAAGTAATTTCCTGTAACCTCGGTGGAAAACTGGTTTGTTGAGCATAAATTTTGAAAACAAGGGGTGTGATGCTTATCCTATTTGTTTCCCATGGACAAATTGTTAATCTTTTCGTTCTGATTAGTCACCGGAAACTTCAGCACCAGAAATTATGTTCGCAGATCAATTCTTTTAAATGGGTAACGTGCCTATAATAAGATGTATTAACATTAATGACAAAATTACTGGTTGTATTAACATTAATGACAAAATTACTGGTTGTATTAACATTAATGACAAAATTACTGGTTATACGTTGCTGTTATCAAGAAAAACTATCACCGCATACATAACCTCAGCAGTTACATGTATTTACTTTATCATCGCAGTTGTAAAGCTATTGTACTTTGCTCTGCTTATTTGATCAGTGAGAATGAAACACAAATGAAGGCCAAAGCTGTGGGAAAAGGAATGACTTCACGGGCCGGAAATATGACATCACATTGCATCCACGAAAGATATACGGTGCCACAGGGTAGGAGCGCGGAATCTAAGCCAAGGGTGTGGGTCATGTCTACAGTGATAATAAATTTGTTTAATATAATAATATATATTTCTTCTATTATTATTGTTGCTGTAGTTGTTGCTGTGTTTTTATTATTACTGCTGTTACTTTTATTATTATTGCTTTTCATCATCTTTATCATCATCATCAATCGGTATCATTGCTATTGTTATCATTATTATCATCGCCATATGCTAATATTATTATCATTACCATTATCATTATTAGTATCATCATTATCATTACCATTATTAGTATCTTCATTATCATTGTCATTATCATTATTGTTATCATCATCATCATCATCATCATTATTATCATTATTATCATTGTTATTATTGTTATTACTATTATTATTATTATTATTATTATTATTATCATTATTATTATTATTACTATTATTATTATTATTTTCATCATTATTATCATTACAATATTCTTATAATCATTATTGTTACTTCTATCTTTAGCGTGACATTACCACTATTAGTATTGCGTGACAATCCTAATATCCTTCTTCATGATCATTATTATTATTATCCAAAAAGACACACCTGTTTAACCCGAGGAAATCTCACGCTCCCAGAAGGTCCTTCCCATCGCCGCCCTTCCTGCCGTTCCTTCCAGCGCCGTCAGACTTCCCGCGAGAGAGACCCCGCGCCCCTCCCGACGGCGGCGTGAGAACCAGCGGGCAAGGGCAGGGTCGAACCTTTTAAAAAGTGGCAGTGAGAGTATTCGGGGTCATTTTAACCCTGAGATCAGTGCCCTTGCATGCTGCGGTGTGAGGTTGCAGTTTGGGTTATGAAGTTGTGGTTGTGATTTATGCGTGAATGGTTTGCCTTGTAATCGAAGGGGCGAACGAGGGCGGGAAACATGGTTTTGTCAGTGCTTGTGTTGGCTCTCCTCAGCGCAGGGGGTCGGAGTCTCCCAGCTGATAGTGGTGCACTGGTAATAAGTTTGTTTTGTATGAAGAGTATAAATATATACATATGATATATACATACATATATATATATATATATATATATATATATATATATATATATATATATAAATATATATATATATATATATAAATATATATATATATATATATATATATATATATATATATATATACATATATATACATATATATGTATATATATATATATATATATATATATATATATATATATATATATATATATATATATATATACATATATATATATATATATATATATATATATATATATATATATATATATATACATATACATATATATATATATATATATATATATATATATATATATATATATATATATATATATATATATATATATATACATATATATATGCATATACACACACATCGCTATATATGTATGTATATATATGTATATATAAACATATATACATATATATATATATATATATATATATATATATATATATATATATATATATATATATATTTATATATATTTATATATATATGCATATATATATATATATATATATATATATATATATATATATATATATATATATATATACATATATATATATATATATATATATATATATATATATATATATATATATATATATACATATATATATATATATATATATATATATATATATATATATATATATATATATATATATATATATATATATGCATACATATATACATACACACACGCACACACACACGTATGTATATATGTATATATATGTATATACACACAAATATATACATATATATGATAAAAAAAATCAGCATAATAATCAAGTATGCTTCAAACTACACAGAAGTGAGATTTTTTATTACCTTACAAAACCAAAATTAACTCTTGCCATTTTCCCAAACACAGATTTCCTCGAGGGCGACATCCCCTACATTCGAGACGAAGGAAAACGAAACAACATCAACGAGGTTTGTAATTTTCGCTCAGTATTTCAAGCCGCATGAAACAGAGAGAGAGATAATAAATGTCGCCATCGATAATACACTCACACATACAATCACAGTGATTAAACTATTATTACTAACAATGGTCATTCTATAATTTCTTTTAGGGATGAATATTACGAAGCTCTGAAGGCTGGTGGCGTTTTGACCTATCTCCACGACGCCCTTGGGGAAGCGTCGGCTGTTCCTCCTGACGTCTCGCCTCGTCTGCGTCGGGTAGGTCCTGGTGTTGGCTTGTTTTTGTTTTTTTTTTCTTTTTTTTTATTTCTGGTGATTTTTCTAAATTTCGTGCCGCTTAGTTCGATTGTATTTATTTATTATTATTATTTCTTAAGCCATTTCTTATTTGTGTTTGTTTTTCCTTTGTCTGTCTGTATCTTTCACTGTCTCTGTCTATCTCGGTATTTTGCTTTCCACTCTCTGTGTGTTTGTCTCTCTTTCTCCTCTCTCTCTCTCTCTCTCTCTCTCTCTCTCTCTCTCTCTCTCTCTCTCTCTCTCTCTCTCTCTCTCTCTCTCTCTCTCTTCCTCCCTCTCTGTTCCCTATTCTCTCTCCTCCTCCCTCCCTTCCTCTCTCTCTGTCTCTCTTACTATCCCTCCTCTTCTCCTCCCTTCCTCTCCCTCTCTCTCCTTCTCTCTCTCCCCCTCTTTCCTCTTCTCCTCCCTTCCTTTCCCTTTCCCTTCTCTTCTCCTCCCTTCCTCTAATTCTCTCTCCTTCTCCCTCTCTCCCTCCTTCCTCTTTTCCTCCCTTCCTTTCCCTCTCTCTCCTTCTACCCCTCCCTTCTCTTCCCCCTACCTTCCTCTCCCTCTCTCCTTCCTCTTCCTCTCCCTTTCTCTCCATCTCCTTTTCTACTCACAGCCAAGCGAAGGTGAAGCGAGAGCGAGGAGAAGAAAGAAAGGAAGCAGAGAAAGGAAACAGAAGAGAAAAAGCAGCAAAGAGAAGAAAAGCAGAGAGAAGAAGAACAAAAGAAAGAGAAGTAAAGAAAAGAGAAGCAGAGAGAGGAAAAGTAAAGAAAAGCGAAGCAAGAAGAAACACAGGAGAAAGAAAAGCAAAGAAAAGGGAAGAAGCAAGGAAGAAGGAAGTGGCAGTAAGGAGACTGATCACTTTACGCCGTGGTGGCCGTGGTCTTCTACGACTCCAGTTACTACAAGACCTACGATGGTCACAGAAGTTACAACACCGACTACAGCCACAACAACAACTACAACGCCGACAATTACTACTGAAATAACCACAGAAGCTACAACGCCTGAAATGACCACAGAAGCTACAACGCCTGAAATAACCACAGAAGCTACAACGCCTGAAATGACCACAGAAGCGACAACGCCTGAAATAACCACAGAAGCGACAACGCCTGAAATAGCCACAGAAGCTACAACTGAAATAACCACAGAAGCGACAACGCCTGAAATGACCACAGAAGCGACAACGCCTGAAATGACCACAGAAGCTACAACCACTACATAACAGAAGCCATCACACTTGAAATAACCATAGGAGTTACAACATTATATATATATATATATATATATATATATATATATATATATATATATATAGAGAGAGAGAGAGAGAGAGAGAGAGAGAGAGAGAGAGAAAGAGAGAGAGAGAGAGAGAGAGAGAGAGAGAGAGAGAGAGAGAGAGAGAAAGAGAGAGAGAGAGAGGGAAAGAGAGAGAGAGAGAGGGAAAGATAGAGAGAGAGAGAGGTTGAACAATACTAGAGGATAGTATTGTAGTAAAAGGGTAGAGAGAGTGAGATGATGTGGTATAAATTGCTCGCTACTATACCTTACAATGGTTCTGTATGACCTTTGATGTCTGGCACATATATTTGTTTTAACTATTACCCATAACCGTTTAATAAAAAAAAGTGCATTATGTTCTGTTGAAACACTTTACCACTTAATTACAATAACTAATTTACAGTTTACGAAATAACACAACACTCTACGATTGCTGAAAACGGTTGCAGAAATGATGATCTTGCTCTGCATCGAAGGCATGTAGATTGCCTCGTAAAAGAGTACATAGTATTTGCCAGAAAACAAATCCCTAGTTTTATTGCCCTCAAATGTATCTGTATAGCAAGTTGAAAATCACTAGTGACTCACAAAACTTTCCAAAGTACTTCTGAACATATTTAGAAGTATTTCGGAGAATCATAACTTCACAGAATAAGACTTGTATTTGACGCATTTCGATCGCATCATATATTTCTGATGAAAATAACACTGAAACGCGCCAGTACCTTCTTTAGCGTCGTGAAGTTATCCATCCACATTCATGCTATTTTCAGCTTCTAGAACTTCTTAAATATTGATTGTTTTCAGAAAATAATGTAAAATACATCTGAAGACACACATATCCAGTGTAAATAATGTTTGATATGCTGGAATGGGAAATTACTCGTGTTCAGTCACTTTTAAGACAGTAGTGATATTACATTGTAAAGTGAAAAGTCAAATACTAGGATATGAAAATCGCCTCTGCTATTTTCTGAGACATGAATTTTATTTTATTCCTTATTAATATTCATATTACTACACAGCATTATCTCCTTTATTAACATATATCTTCTTAGCCCCTTTCATAAAAGTCGCCTGGTTCTCATCGCACCTTATCCGTCACGAGATCTTCATACTCATAAGGCAAGATTTGGTGGTGTTCCCCATGGCCGCCACGTCGATGTCAGGGTCAGAGGTCAGGTCGAGGGTAAAGCGGGTCGTGAAGCCTAACTTGGAGAACAGGGCCTGGGTGAAGACGTTGCTGGCGATGACGCGCGCCTCGTGACAGCCCGCGGCCCTTCCCCTTTCGAAGGTCAGCTGAGGGAGGAAGGGGAGTGCCAGTTAAAACAAAGTCGTGTGGAGAATTTCGAAGGAGTTAAGGTTGGCGGGACTGAGTTAAGGTTGAGAGAGTCTAAAAATTGAAGAAACTTGTTTAAGTTCTGGCTGATATGATAAAGAATCTTGTAAAGACTGGGGAAACTTGAAAATAGAGTTGAAGGCGATGGATTCTGAAGAAGTTGAGCTTAAGGAAATTTGGAAAATGAGGCGACACTGGATCAAACAGAAGGAAAGGAAACACGAAATTGCCAGACATGCAGTTAAAGATGCATACAAAACACGTGTATTGCTCAGTATGGTAATAATGCTATTCGTTTATTTTCTCAATAATGCACAAAGTAAAACATCTGACAACGTGTGCATGCCATTCACTGATACTGAGCAACAACTGACAGCGTCTTTCCAGCCCATCAGCCAACTAAACAACGAGCCCATCCATTCGACCATCAACCAGTCATTCATCAACCAACTTCTTCATCCATCTATTAACCAACCAACTAACACCTCTGATTATTAACCAACCAATCTCTTCATCCGCCATCAACCAATCACTTATCAACCACTTCCCCACCAAACCAACCAATCCCTGTTTCATCCACCAACTAGGTAACCAATCCCTCCACTCATCCACCCAACACCCAACCTCTCTTCCTCCAGCCACCAGCCCACCAATCCTTCCATCCACCACCCAATCCATCATCCACTCTAGCAATTCCTCTGTCACGAACCTCCACCATCTTCTTGGCGATTCCCCGCTGCCCGTAGTCGCTCCTCACGCCCACGAAGAACATCACCAGGATCTTCTCTACCCCGGGGGCGTCAAACAACTCTACGGAGTCCCACACGAGGTCGTCCCGCTTGTACATCGCTTCCTGTAGGAGGGTGGGAGGGGGGGGTGAAGGATAGGGTGAGGCGGGAAAATGAGGAGAGATTAGTGGCTACATCAGGTTGGAAAAGTGGGGGAAACTGCGTAATATATGTATAAAGTCAAAGGAAATGGTGGAAAACAGTAAAATAAATGTATAAATAAAATGAGTAAAAGATGAAAACTTTACATAACTTTACTAATGGCCTCTCGTACACTAAAACATAAGATCATACGAATCAGTATGCTTGAAAAAGACTTTTCCTCTGTTAAATGAATAGAGTTCATACAAACAGCAAAAAGCAATGGTCAAAACGCGTTGACTAACATTAGACAAGCGTTGGACAAGGCTGTATTCTATCACTGCGGCCATTTATCATTTCCTCGGATAAGAATAGGGAGAGACGCGCTCGAATATCATTTAGGATTTTTAAAAAATTATA